CGGCCGCCTTTGCGATGGCCGTCCCCTCGTCGTACTCGTCAAACATCGCCACATAACACGACGGGATGTCCAGCTCTCGCACGTTCACGAACTGACGCCACATGAAGTCACCATGCTCACGCGGGATATGGTTTTGTATAGCTTTTGGCTCCCAGTTAGCCCACGAGAAACCCGGAAATAGAACCGGCTGAAAATCTATAGCATATCGATGATTACAATGATTTTAATCATTTGAATACTGATAAATCAATTTTAAAATAATTATTAGCATGCAAATTGTGTTTTAGTAGTAATCCTCTGAAAGCTAATCCTGTACAGTTAGCAACTTTATTTTGCCTCCGATTTAGTAATATTCTGCGAACGCTGTTAACTATGAATGACAACAAATTTATAATTTGTCACAACACTAGTCATAATCATAGTTAGCTCATCAATTTCATAATATTTATAGTGTTGAGAAACTGTAATAATTTATAAAACTTTAGCCTCTTATGGTTAAAGTGTGCCAATATTTTTATCATTGGGATTGCAATGAATTTGCACATTAACTTGTGAACATTGGTAAATCAATTTTCAAATATGTTTCCGACATTTATTTTCGATGGGGTTTTGGGTTTAGGCATGTTTGCCAACATTGCTTAATGAGTGCATGACTTTATGATAATTATATAGTGTTTTTCATAGACATTCTAAAGTCATACACTCAATAAGCAAGGTTGTCGAACAGGCATAAGCTAGAAAACACACAAAAATATACCCTGAGAAATACCGTACTAAATTAGTACTATTAATGTTACCAATGTTAAGCTGCTTCAGTGTGTTGTGGTCGGCCTCCAACACCTTTTTATGACCCTCGGCCCCTTTGACGCCCCCAAAGCGGCCGACCGCCCAGGGCTGCAACATATCGAGCTTTAGGTAGACGTCCTTCCAGGCGGTGGTGTCGGTGCGCCACTGGGTCTGCACACCGCCCGCCACGTAAACACCCCTTTGCTTGAGTTGCTCGATGACATCGAGCGCACCCTTTGTGTCCTGCGGACGGTTAGCAAACCCGAAGCCCCAGATGCAGACCACGGGTTTGCCGTTCTGGTGGGCGTAGGCCTTACTTGTCGTCAGACGCTTGATGTTGTTGTCGTAGTCCTCGATGAGTTCGGCGGCGAATTTAGTCCATCCGGTGATATCCCACATGATGTAGAACTTGCGGTCATGAGCCTCGGCCGCCGCCCTCACGTTGTCGGCCATACCGTTATCCCTTTTCCGGGCGATGGGGTCAGGCTTTACGTATGACCCAAACCGTTGAAGCGCCGCCGTATCGATGTTGTTCTGGTCGCACACGTAAGGGAGGGTTCATTTGATAAGTAAGTAAAGGGGTGGGGATTCGTATGGGATTAGCCGTCATATTCAATGATAGAGTCGAGGACAACATCATATTAATAATAGCATTATTAAATTGATTGAAATCGTACATGGTATTCATATTTTGGTATTTTGCATGTGACAGATCTATTAACTTAGCATAATTAAGCACTGTTTTTGACGTTTTCCTGGGTTATGCATGTTTGCCGCCATTGATTGCTAACATGTTTAACCCTTAACCTACATCAAAAATCGAACCTGGGCATAACATAAGGCCATTTAAGGATATATGGTCACCAGGATATTCACCTCTTTCATCCATTTGAAGTGTGTGTCCA